AGGGAGCGAAGGACATTATTACATTTTGGTAAAGCTCTTTAAGCTCTGATACACAGCACGAGTGCATTACAACCTAAGCTGTTGCAGCTTAACACCCGTGAAAGCCAAATGTGGTATTACCACTTTCCTAGCATAAACTCAGAGCTATACATAAACTGTTTAATTTTAGTGCACATCTGGTGACCTTACCTGACAACATAATTCAATACTTCACAAAACTAGTGCATTAAATGCATAGTTTCAACACACTCTATTATAGATTTTTTCTTAGGGTCATATAAAAAAGTGTTATAGTAGTGTCCCGTTTTCGACACACAATATACAAACGTAGCCTCGAGGTTTATGTAATCCCGGATTGGATTTACCCCTGAGACCAAGATATTGCAAACGAAATTCAAGCGATAAAAACCTGGTAGGTCCCGAGATTTGTCTACTAGATAATCTTTTCATCCACAACAAAGTATTTTGTACTTTTAGTAAATCACCAAAAAAGTCCAACATAGTAGATTTTGCCTTTACTGTTGTTAGTGAATTTCAGAATGAAATGATGCGAGAGCAATCAGTGTAAAATTTCCAACTGATTAAGTGCGATGAAGCAACAAATCTAGAGATTGTAATCTTCCAAGTTTCCACTCGAGTTGATCAAATATGTTGTGTCACATTGGCTGAGGAGGTTAGGGTTGAAAATATGTCGTAACATCTCAAGGTTCTTTTTAAATGAATCTAAACAAAGGAGTAGGAATAGAAATTGTACAACGAAATTTGATAGATTATATTTAGGATAAAACTACATTCTAGTCAGCGATGGCGGTTGCCATGGATTAGTGAATTAATTGAAAGTGTAAATATCTATTATAGAAGAAACGTTTAATTGAAAAATACAACAATGTAATAATTATAGTGCTTGGAAGGTGTAACCGTTATATTCTAAAATTACAAACCCTTAGAAATATTGTTGTTTGCGAACTAAAAACTCATTTTTTACAAAACCGTATTACCTATTGTGTTTAATGCTATTTTGCTCTGCATTAGGTAAAACCAATCTACAATAATTTCACATAAATTGTTGTGTCCTTTTCTTTTAAGATCCAAGGGGCATCAGAGGGAATTTCTCAAAAAACATATAATTTATTATGAATATATTAAGGAGGTAAAATAAAAACTGCTGCTGTAATATACGATTTGATAACGTGTTATATGCAGTTACAAATACTCAGAGTCTTTTCAATGAAACTTGTGAATTCATAAGTTGAGTGTAAATTAAGGTCAACTAAAGGCTTGATGTTTTACCGTTCAAGACTAGGAATACAATTTTACTCCAGACACTGCTTTAGCCTAATAAACTTTAAATATACACTTTGTTTTTACTTTTTTTGTGATAAATCGTAAATAATCTTGTCTTGGTTTAATATTAAGCTGTTGTTATAAAATATCATATTTTCTTTTTCATACTCGCATAACAAACGAACTTTGAAATTCAACATCCTATCTATATCGTTTTATGATACATTTCAGTTCCATGCATTTTGATGTTTGTCATTTATTTATTATTTTTGTCAACTTAAAAACTTTTACGACAGAATAAAACAATCTTTTGCAGACTGTTTCTTGCCCTTGTTTATTACCAAAGGGAAAAGAGCAAACCATAATATTTATTCTAAATAATCTTATGATACTTACACTCCAACACACACTAAATAGGTTCCGATAAACAAAACGTTAATTTTGCAGGTCAGAGGCTTCAGATTTCCTTTTGTATTATTCAAAGCCACCAGGTTTAGATTATTTTATTACTTAAGCAGACTATTATATAAATATCTCCTTCCGCTGTTCTTGTACATAAAAACAATTTCAGGTAGTGAAAAATGGTTCAACTGAAACAAGCTCATTCTTAATTTATCCAACACTCATACATTTAATCGGTCGTTACAAATGCCTAGGACCACTTTGGGAACTTAAAAAAAATATTTCATAGTACATGTAAGAGGATAACCCAACAACCAACGCCATTAAATATTTACGAATTTCATCACGGCATAAACAAAAGGCGTATCTGCCGGCGGATAAATTGTTGGCTCTAAAAACATAATTTCCCTGTTGTAAACTTTGATCTCACGCTGAGGATGAAATTACTAACATATGAGCCAATTAGGAATGCAAATTATAAATACTTGCAATTAAACCTAGTAAATGTATTGAGATTTACGTATTATATAGAATGGAACTGAAAAAAAATCATTTTATACTTTTACTGGTTGCTTTGCCAGGTCTTTGTTTGCATAAGCTTATTGATAACAAAATAAACTCATCGCCTGCAAAACAAAGCTGTGAAAATTAGTAATAATCACCGGATGATTAAATAAAACTACCAATCTAATGGTATACTTAGCCAAGCACTTTGAAATCAGTCATGACGCCACTTTGAACAATTTGTAAACCATCTTGAAAGCGTTGTTGTATTTTCTTGATTTATTTTTTTAATTGCACTCTCATGGTACTCACCCATAGGTGAGGATTTAGGCCACTTATTGAGACGGCTAATGGGCTTTTGCGCTGCTGCAACATAACCACTATGTTTCACCTAAGGCATTCCATTGATCACATATATTGGCCATGGTCACTTTGAACCAACAGATAAAACTTCAGACGAGGCAATCAATTCATATATTGATGGCATTGGCATTTGTTGTTTTTAATGAGGTATAGTTGTATCCTGGTTTACTGTTAGTTCATGATCTCAGTCTTTCAAAGTTGTTGAACACATTGTCAACAACGCTTTATTTATCTTACGTACTACAATCTTTACATTAACTTTCATGCATGTAATATCTGATTGTATGACAAAGGCGGCGACCAAAAAGCAGTAAAAAGAAGCAATTAAAAACTTGTATCCTATTGCAGTCAATTTGTTCTCTGACTTGTTGTTGTTGTTTCGTAATTTTTTCATTAGTAGATTAGATTGAAATTTTTATATTTTGTTGTTGTTTTAGATATATTTAGTTTTAAATATTAAGTTGTAGGACGTCATTCATGTGCAGCAAGTTGCACTTTTGAATAAATTAAGTATGACTATGAATTAAGAAATAACTTCTTGATCAGCATTGTACGAGTTATTAAATTTACGGAAAGTAATAAAATAAACGTCTTATAACACTAAAAAAATATATTTAAGCTTATACTGTTACTCACAAGACGGTAAATCTACAAGAAAGATGGTAAGTGGTGATCGATTTCATTCGATCAAGTTCATTCGCCTATTGGGTCTGATGATGATTGGAGTGTCCAATCAAAATCGATTACCACTACGATCCAAATGTCTTTTTTGTATATTTACCGTCTTGTGAGTAACAGTATAAGCGTAAATATATGTTTTAAGTGTTGTAAGTCGTTTATTTTATTACTTTCCATATGAATAAACAATATGACAATAATGGCATATATGAAATCTTGAGTTGAAGATCCACAAATTTTGTTTCATAATTAAAACTGTCCATGCACATGACAACTCCTTCTGATAAAGTTGCGTTAAGACTACTAAAGATAACAACATTATGACAGGGGTCACTAAAGCGATTTGGGTTCTTAGCAGTGTGTTTGAAGATTGCAAGCAAACAATAAAGTACACATCCAAATTGGTGGTATATTTAGGAACATGAATTGGTGATTTAGATACAGATTGCAGCATATAAAGTAATAATACAACCCATATAATATAATCATTGCTCCTGGAAAGTTTGACAGCTTTATGTTGAAAGAAATGAATGTTTCATACTGAGTCTTCATAACATGACATGAGTGATGTGTTCCTCTTAAGCTTTCATTTTCGCTTTAGCTGGTTACTTTGGGAACCATGTCGAAACATTTTGTGTAATATTTTCGTTTATTGACGGATTGTGTATCGCATAAATATTGACTCACAAGTAATTTATTTTGTGTAAGATATTACTCGTAGGATAATACGGTTTTAAAACAAATAATAACTACTAGGCCTACACTCGTATTTTTTATTATTTCGAATACCTACTATTACTTTCAGGTTTGGACCATATAGTGTAAATTTAGTCCTGTTCAACGATAAACATATTTACAGAAATATTTAGGCCGTGAGCTAAACTAAGTCTTTGAATAAAATATTCTAGGGTACTTCTTAATAGTTTTTGAACGGTTTACCAAATATTCATACAACCATTAAAACAATATAGGGTGTATTACATATTTAAATAATTTTAGATTATAATAAAAAGACTCGGAATTTTTCAAATCATCTTAAAGATAAAATTACGACCACAACTCACAAGAAAAGTGTACTGTGTCACTTTCAAAATTAAACAAATAAATAAAGTTCCCAATTTCAGCTAACTTTAAACACGGGTTCTGACATGCTAAATATTAAATGAACGAAATAAGTGATTTTCAACGTTAAAGTGTTTACCTGATACTCAATTTCCAATTATGAATTTCACTCTAAGGATTATGAGTTACTTACCTTTAATGAGCTCTTTTCAAAGAGGCTTCCACTTGTCAACAAGTTTAAATACTTCTATTCTTACAATCAACCTTGTTTATCTTATTATCATTTTTCTTGGTATTTCGTAAGAAGTATTTATGTGATTGGTTCTGGTTAAATTATTAGCTATGAACTAAATAGGTTCAAATGTGTTTTAACCAAGAATGGAAATAACTGGGTAAATTTGGGACCCATTTGCTATTAGTCATTGAAATGCCATTAAGCAATGTTTTTCGAGCAAATGAGTCGTCGTCCTAACTAGAGCCGAGTTCGAATATATCATTGAAAACCTAAAAACAATGCCAATGACATTTAAATACGTTACACTTGATTCTGTGCCCAGATGATGTTTATCTTTAAGCTATCAACCAATATTGTTCTTTGACAAAACGTTGTCGTCTTAAAGGTATGGGCATAGAACGGTTCTATAGCAAAATCTGTGAAATATTCAATCTAAATAAATAACAAACAAATAATAAAAACTATAACTCACATATGATATCATGGGGAGGTTCCAGGCGGCCGCTACCAATGCCTCGGCGCTGCATGTGTCGTCCGGGCCTATGAAGGCCACAGTGCCGTTGTCTCGCATCTCAGTCATGACCCGGATGGCCAGCGTGGCCAGGGAGGACTGACGTCTGGCCAGGCCGCTGGGCTCTGTGCCGATGTCCCGGGCCACGAACTCCAGACGTCGCCCCGGCAGAAGTAGGGGATCTGCGTTGACCGCGGTCACCGCAAGAGGCAGAGCTCCCAACACAACCTGGAGAAAGTGGAATAGATGTATAAACTGTTTGGACAATGCTACAATAGAGTGGAAACAATCTCTAGGTGCTTCTGATACATTTTGAAGAATTAAAGTAAAATTAACTTGAAACGTTATTTTAGCTTCAATCATCCTCTCATAGCTCTACGATATCTTTTAGCTGTGTTAATAATAAAAATTTCAACTGTATGTATGGTTTTTTGTTACTTAAATATTTGCCTTACTCTCAAAATATACACCAAACCTTTTCAATAGGATCAAGCCTTAACTTAAGAGGCGACAACTACATTTTAAAACACATTATCAATAAACATTAAACCATTATGAAATCATTAGCACAACCACTCATTTAAAAAAATTTAACTGACGGTTTTTTTGACGTAATGAAAACTGGCGATCGCACCTGAGGCGAAAGCTTTCAGGATAATTTTTTGTCTCCAAACCTTTATTCTAGCTGTCAAATAGCCGGAAAAGCTACTATTTAGTATGTAAAAAAAATAAAATAAATAGTTTAGAGATATATAGTACTTAGAAAACATATTTCAGACGTTACATTGCTAGAACCACTTAAAATATGATCAATAAATATAACACGTTATTAAACGGTAAATATTAGTATTAAAATCTTAACGACCAATATTTGGCATGTTCCACGAAGTTTGCCTTCTTATTAAGGTTTGTTTGAAAGTTTACACTGTTAATATAAACATTAAAACTTTAAAAAAAATCGAAGTTTCAAACAGTTTGATTATGACTCATGTATTATTTCCGAGGTTATGTTTTCTATGGGTTTTGGTCACTAGGGGTAGTTTCCCCTATTTTATTTTTAATTTTTACCCCAGGATTTGAAATCTGTACAGAAAAAGAAAGCACCAAAATAACAAGGAAGTAATTTTGAGTATGGTATATTTAAGTTAATATTAATTATTTTCATAACAAATTTGCTTTATAATAATATAAATTATTGATGACAAATTGAAAGGTTACTGTAACGTAACAATAAGAAAATAAAACAGTGTTCGACTCAAGAGAGTAAGCAATATTTTAGACCACAATATTGAAAATATTTTCCACCACAATATCCCATTACCAAATGTGACCCAACGAAAGGAAACAATTCGAAAAGCGGGAAATGTGTAGGGAAATAACCAAATAGGGTTGGGACGTCGAGAATGGCGGGAAATAACCGTAAAGAACTGACAAGGCCTTGTTTTGTTCCAAGGCTCAATACGGAACTTGTCGCTTCCACGGGAATGACAATGAACCAAATGAGACTTCCTTTACATGGAAATGTTAAAACTAATTCTGTTATTAATAAATTACACTAAATAAATTGTATAAAATCTTTTTGTGTATTGAGTGTTTGAAATACTACACAATTTTAGTGGGCATTAAGATATTCTGTTAATGTAATTTACCTATAACAATAGAAAAATAAAATCAGTTACAACTATTAAAGTTATTACAATTAACTTATATAATAGTATATATACCAAAGAGTCAATACACACACTGATACAATATGCTGAATATATGAAGAAAATAAATGAACTGGAAACTAGCTATTCATAAAATGTATGAACTAATAACACATTAATTGCCTGATAATTAGTGTGTACCTATGTACACCTATGTACAACCTATGTAAAAAAATTATTTAGAAAATAGTGAAATAAATTAGCATTGTATCTTGAGTCAAATATGATCATGCGGAACTACATTTGCCTTTATAAAAAGCACATTTTACATAAAACTAATATTAATTAAAATTACGGTTTGAAATATTGAAACCTAAACAAATATTCAGGTCGAAATAAAGTTATAGGAGTATTTTCTTTCAGGATATTGTAGCAACTAAGTTAATTATTAAACAACAAATCATAACGGAAAATGTAAATTATGTATGAGTGGAATTCACGTTTTCAGCAAAGAGGACTTAGCGTAAGCAACTTTTGAATATGGCATTCTATGTGTAATTTTTATTTAAATTAATTTATGGCAATGACATTACGTAAATTAAAATAGAAATGTCAACGAGGTTAAACCACAAAAAGTGTAACTTAGTCAGAGACGGAATGACAGTTTTAATTTATGGTAAACCGACTTACTCGAATCAAGGTCTCGTTTGCGGTTCTGAAACATTGTTCTATGTATCAAGGTATTCGTGAAACTACTCAGAATCTTGGGTAACTTAAATTTGCAATACACCTCCATCCAAAATGTTAAAATTGAATACAATTACTCATATTCGTTTTGAAATATAAATAATGGAAAATGTAAAAATTTTATTGGATAAAAAATAGAGTGCTGTACAAAAAGCTTAATTTTTTATGTACACGTTTGTTTATTACGAAATATTATAAATATCGTAATTACTGTGAGATATTAAACAGCACTTTTAAACTATACAATAGGTTATTATAAAGTATTGTTATTTCTTTATAGTTTTTCAACATTCGTTTGGTAAAACGATGTTTCATATTTTTATAACACATGATGATAATTATTCTAATTGTTACTAAACGTTATCACACTACACTTTCGAAGCAGAAAAGTTTGAATTCCTCATCAAACAGCCTTGCCCATTATCACTAAACGTCTGATGCTTTAAGTCAATTAAGATAGTCTTGTAATTCCAGAACGTGACTTTCCATAAACTTGGCTATTTTTAGCTTAACGGATGTATCTGATGGATCACCACCGATTACAATAGAGCTTCAGTTATGTAATAAATATAAATTAATATCCAATAAATATAAAATAATATTTCTGATAGGAAAGAAAAATATTATTTGAATTGGTAAACTCAATATTACTTGAATTAATTAAAACAATACAATAATAAACATAAAAGCTCAACATGGTAAAATAGCGTTATAAGAACAACTTCATCTCAAATTAAAAGTCCTTTGGTCAATGATTACGTATTTAATTATGAAATACTGAAAGTACAAAATTAAATGTGCCCAACTTAAAATGTAAAAATATCCAATACGTATATTAACGGGATTTGAAAAAGTCATCACGAATTGTAGCAAATAAAACTACTTGTTTGTCATGTAGGCTAGTTCTGAAAGAAAACACATAAAATCACAGCTATTTATATAATCGAGTTGTTTTCTTTTGGTCAAGTAAACTCCAAACTCGTTTAACTGCTTTACTTATCTGATTCTGCGTGCAAAGGGCGATCACACAAGTTTAAGAAAAAAAAGTTGCAACTTAGACTTTTTACATCGTTTATTGAATTTGTTAACAAATTGTCTGGTGTCCTTACGTCCATTAAGTAATTGAGACAGATTGAGTATGGATTTGATATTAGTATCATTTTATATACAATTCTGTATTATTTATGCAATTGAGCTATTTAAAAAATTGTTAGATTGGTAAGATTAAGGGGATTTTCTACAAAAAATGGTAAAAAATCTAGATTTTTTTAAAACTCAAGTTTTATTTAGGTTTTCCTGTACAATACAAACACAACAGTTTGATGTAAAATTTCATAATTCATGGAGAGAAAAACATTAAATGTTGAACGTGCACAAATATTTTTGACGAACTAATTATGTTAGATCGGTTTTGTCAGTCTTGTACACCCCAGAGACCAAAAACGCTACTTACTGAAATTTTCTAAATGGCTTTTGAATATAAAAATAAAAAAGACGTATTTTTAATCCATTTGGTAAAATAAATTTTTATTTACCAATTAACTAAAATTAAACAAATTCTTAAAGATTTATACCATTTAAAAAATATTAAAATTAAACTCAGACATATGAGTATAAATGCATTTTTAGTTAAATACCAGGCCTAAAATTAAAGACCGAGATAATTAAAATAGGACATTTGGTACTAAAGTTGTATCAATTTTAAAATTTATAAAAAACTTTAATTTTCTGCTAAACAATTTTATTGACCATAATACTGCAGTGAGATATATAATTGTTTAACTATATTCCTTTAAATTAGATCAATAACAACCTAAATATATTACATTTAAAAGGTTAAAGCTAAAAATAAAAAAAAACACCTTAAGGAGTGGCGAATCCCCTTAAGGCATATTTGTGAATTCATTTAAAATTTACAATTCTTCTACTGCATAATATCATTATTTCTTTGTAGATAAAACTGCTTCTTCGTAAAAAAAAACTATTATGACTAATTTTTACCTAGATACTTGAATTCTTAAAAATAATTAATTGAGAGAGGTTATAGTTGTTTTGAATGCTTCAATTTCTAATGAATATAAAATTAAAAATATTATTTGATGTTACAGTTAATCAAGTATTTATTTTATTTAAGTTTTTAATCATTTTAAAGACGGATAAAGAAGTTAAATGCAAATCTAAAGGTCTCTACTAAAAAAAATGCTTAAATTTCTCTGAAACTACAAGTTCTTATGAGATATCAATGTTTTTCGTACAATACAATGTTATATTAAAAATATATTTTAATTTGAACAAGTTTATACCTTAGAAAGTGCAATACAAATTTTTAATTAAGATAAATGCATTATGCTTACTTTTAGGAAATGCTGTTCGCACTCTGTAAAATTTGTTTAGTTATAAGCCTGGGGATTTTCTCCAGAGGAATCAAAAGACTCCAGTTTTAAGGGCGACGTCCCTTTTATCCACTTAGGCCTTACTGTTCTCATGAACGCACGTCCTTTAGCCTTTTTGATCTTTCGTTTTTCTAACTTCAATTATTCTATGCAAACTTAAATCTTGTCAATATCTGAAGTCAAGTATTTGAAGAAGTAATATAACAAATACAGTTTACAGCATAATATTTTTTAGCTAAAACTTCAATTGTTTTATTAAATACCAACAGCCCCAAATAGTAGGATTTACTCTACTTCGGTAGTTTTCTGTTATCTTAAAATACTTTTAGATAATAGATAAGACGAACTAGGGTTTGGTCGTTTCCCAAAAGTTTTAAGTTATAAGTTGAAGGTTACAGAGCCTTGGAAGCATATTTAAGTTTGGCGACTCAATGTTCTA